TATGTTTTAACTAATTGAAAGGTTTAGATAACCAGAGGCAGACATGGGGGGAATCAAGCAATGTTCAAGGACTAGTATAATTAAACTGAATGTTGAAATAGGGATTCTTAAACTGAAGGTCAAATGTTAATTGTTGAATGAAGGGTACCTTTTCTCATCAGCTGAGGGGGAAAATGCATAATTCATCTTTCAGTGATGTCCCATACCATTTTCACATAAAGGAAACTAATAAAATTGTATTGGACTTTAATTTTAACATATTCAGCCATTGCGATTTTATTTACTGTAAATAACTTCAACTTTTGGTAACTTTTACTCTTTGTTATACTGATTGTTATACAAAGAATTATGATTTTTTTTTTTCATCCTTCTAATTCCAATTTTAAATTCTGCAAATAGGACTTATCAAAAATTAGTTACAAAAAAAATCTTAATTATTCTTGTCTTATTGTCATAAATAATGAGAAATTGCATTGCAAATTCAATAAATGAAGTATAATTGTGATAACTAAATAATACCAAACATAGCACGTGCTTAATAAATAGTAACAGTGACAACAATAGCGTACAAAACTGCAATAAGGCAGTCAGAACGCAATATTAGCGCTTGGAATAAATTACATTTTTCATTTCTTTGTGGATTTTACACCATGCCAACGGTCATTGGTACACATTCAGGCACTCTTCAATCAATATCAGTGCTACATTTGCAGTGCTTTGTTTCTGGCACTGTGAGCCTTTCAGCATGGAGCCCAGGGCAGTCAGCAGCCTGTGAGAATTGGCTGTTAGCCATTTTGAAGGGTAAGAAGTCAACTAAGGTGATATTTAATATGTTCAGACCTTTGCTCTTATCAAACGCCCCCGAATTTTGTTTTTTATCGCCTTGTAAATATTAAGTGTAACCATTTCTAAAATGCATTATAAGCTCTTTGATCTTCCTAATCCAACAGTAAGCAAAATGCGGCTGTTCTGACTAAGAACAGAAGCAGAGAACACTCCGCGTTCTACATGAGGGATGTTCTAAATACTCCCGTGGTCTCCTAACATCAGGATTGGGACTGACAGACTTAGTTAGACCTGAGGCCTGTCAGCATGAATTTAAATGAAATACCAATACATATATTTTAGCCATTTATATTTTAGATTTGCTTTTAATCATGTGCATAGACTAGCTTAGTTGGTCCCCCATCATAGGATGCTGTGTTCCCACCTGCCCTTAAGTGACTTAAACAAAACGTCTTTTGTCAACCAACCAACCAGCTACTTGTCCATGCTGGTCCATCAACAAGACAACCATCAAATCAGCAGAAACCAGCATGGAAGTTTGTTGATCTAAGGTGGGGTCTTTTCAACAGGAATATGTGTCCTTCAACAAAAACAATAGGGGACAAATTAAAAATGACAACTGATTACTTGTCAGATTATAAGCATATAGTATTATTTCAATATAACTTCACTTTAAATTATCTTGTGGCCCCCTGGTTTCAAACTACCTTTTTTTCAGAAAGCATCCATTTTATTTCCTTTAATTTATTAATTCAATTTTAATTTAAGAGCACTTATGGAAATATACTTTAGAAGAATATACTCAAGCGTGAACTGAATGTAATGTTGCTTAGAATTAAATGAAAATGTATTATAGTTTAGTATGTGTGGCAATACGTGGTCAGGTAGGGGAAATTACCAACAACGGATACAAATTGACTACTCCACCCGGAATATACCGGGACATAACAACCCTATAAAAGGGCACACAGGTTCGTTGCCAAAGGCAGGGTGAGCATGGAGACATAGGCAAAGTATAAGAATTAAACCATTTATTTATACACAAATGAAACCGTTTAACACATTGGTTTTTATACAATCTTAATCAAATCAAAAAAAAATCTTAATTATTCTTGTCTTATTGTCATAAATAATGAGAAATTGCATTGCAAATTCAATAAATGAAGTATAATTGTGATAACTAAATAATACCAAACATAGCATGTGCTTAATAAATAGTAACAGTGACAACAATAGCGTACAAAACTGCAATAAGGCAGTCAGAACGCAATATTAGCGCTTGGAATAAATTACATTTTTCATTTCTTTGTGGATTTTACACCATGCCAACGGTCATTGGCACACATTCAGGCACTCTTCAATCAATATCAGTGCTACATTTGCAGTGCTTTGTTTCTGGCACTGTGAGCCTTTCACCATGAAGCCCAGGGCAGTCAGCAGCCTGTGAGAATTGGCTGTTAGCCATTTTGAAGGGTAAGAAGTCAACTAAGGTGATATTTAATATGTTCAGACCTTTGCTCTTATCAAACGCCCCCGAATTTTGTTTTTTATCGCCTTGTAAATATTAAGTGTAACCATTTCTAAAATGCATTATAAGCTCTTTGATCTTCCTAATCCAACAGTAAGCAAAATGCGGCTGTTCTGACTAAGAACAGAAGCAGAGAACACTCCGCGTTCTACATGAGGGATGTTCTAAATACTCCCGTGGTCTCCTGACATCAGGATTGGGACTGACAGATTTAGTTAGGCCTGAGGCCTGTCAGCATGAATTTAAATGAAATACCAATACATATATTTTAGCCATTTATATTTTAGATTTGCCTTTAATCATGTGCATAGACTAGCTTAGCTGGTCCCCCATCATAGGATGCTGTGTTCCCACCTGCCCTTAAGTGACTTAAACAAAACGTCTTTTGTCAACCAACCAACCAGCTACTTGTCCATGCTGGTCCATCAACAAGACAACCATCAAATCAGCAGAAACCAGCATGGAAGTTTGTTGATCTAAGGTGGGGTCTTTTCAACAGGAATATGTGTCCTTCAACAAAAACAATAGGGGACAAATTAAAAATGACAACTGATTACAAGCATATAGTATTATTTCAATATAACTTCACTTTAAATTATCTTGTGGCCCCCTGGTTTCAAACTACCGTTTTTTCAGAAAGCATCCATGACTACTCCACCCGGAATATACCGGGACATAACAACCCTATAAAAGGGCACACAGGTTCGTTGCCAAAGGCAGGGTGAGCATGGAGACATAGGCAAAGTATAAGAATTAAACCATTTATTTATACACAAATGAAACCGTTTAACACATTGGTTTTTATACAATCTTAATCAAATCAGATACACAAATCTACCAAAAGCAATACAATTGGTTAAGCACCGCACTCCATGTGGACACGCTAAAAGACTGCAACCCCCGCTTTAAGTTTCTACTCCTAAATGACAACATGGTTAACCGGTACAAACTTCAAAACACATTCAAAAATACAAAACTCACTTTCATACCACAACAGAACAATCTACTCCAAAA